AAAGTAACTTCAAATCACCGGGTTATACACCATTTCAGGCACATAGTTACGAGGTGGCAGTTACTCATTTACAATCTCATATGTACAACCTTTCTCCATAGAAAAATTGATACTGAAAAAAACGCATATAGCCAAGCAAGCAGCATACAACCAACCGATGTCACCACGCCCAAATGGAACATCTGCACGATAAGTGATTGGAGCACGTGCCTGCTCAAACTGAGCTTGTCTGGGACAAACCCATGAAAAATGGCAGAAAAAACGTTTTCGCAGCCCAGAATCACAAGGATAAAAAGTCCTGCAGCTTACACGTATCGTGATTTGCTCGCTGGGGAAAGTTTGCTAAACAGGACAGACCAATGCATGGGTGAAGGGTAAAATACTGACAAAATATACACTTAACAAAAAGTAGTCTTACTGGGTTTTAATGGGAGAGGTTTAGCTGGGAGTTCATTTATCCAAGTTCCAGGTGAGTTTGGTTTTTTTTTTGCCAAATGTCTGCACTTTGTTGTCAAATTAGAACAGTCGAAATTGACCCAATTTATGAGTAGTATGTTACATTACCAGCTCAAACCTTGTCGTAATGCGCGGTGGACAGTCGCTGAATGGCGGATAACTGCCGGGCTTTTTAATCTTTGTTTCTTATTAGAAGAATGTTTATTTTTCGCCCTACCTGGCTATCGAAATTCACCTTTAGGTATGAGTTTGCTGTGTTCAATGGTTTAGACGACTCAAGCATGCTTGGTGTCTAGAGGCTTCATGGTTACCTGCCCCCTGTTACTCTGAAGGAAGAATTTTAAAAAAATCAAGCAATACTCCAGTGGTTACAATCTTTCGGTGTCTAGTCGCCATGTCACCTGAAAGGAGCACGATGGATGTCAGGGTGCCCAAGTCCAGACAGGAGCAGTGGAGATACCGGTGTTGGGTTCGAACCACGGACCTTCCAGTAAGTAGTTTTCCACCAGAACCTCTCAGCAACGCCAAGCCTTCAAGAGGATGCTGTATTCCGTGGAGTAGTTCGCTTGTAAAGCGAATAATGTATCTGCAATAAGTGAGTAATTTTTGCACCGGATAACACTGGGACGTTTCTTATACCATTTCACTTCAAATTTACCAAGTGTAATTAGTAATAAAAACCATATTTTCGAATGACAACGTACCTTCATTCGGTGTTTTCCTTAACGTGCACATCCGTGGTTGCGGCTCGCGGTCGAACGGTCAGGTGTCTAAACTGCTAGCCCTCTGGTCCGGATTTCGAAATCTTCTACTGTATTTTTGTAAAATGTGCACTGCTAATGAATTCCAATAAGAATGAAGCAGTATAGCCGTAATACACTTCTCCGTGATTTATCTGAAAGCCTTATTTTAAAGAAAAGAGTAAAAGTGGACGGG